TCTACGGGAGGAAGTGCGCCCACGACTGGATGCACCAGGGCGCGGTGACGGCGGCCCTCACGGCGAACCCCTCGCTCCACATCCAGGTAGACGTGTACGACGCAGCCGCCTGCACCAGCAGCACCTGCGCGACGTGCGCCAGGGGCTGTCACAGCGACCTCGAGTGGGGCACGCTCGTGGACTTGGGCCTGTTCGCGCACGACCTTGGCAAGTGCCCCTTCCCAGAGTACCACACTAAAGAGTGCAGATATAATACGAGTACCTCCGTCCAAATGCCAATAAATTCTGCTTGAAGTTAATGGCTTGCTTTTTGACGCTCATTGATTAATTGTTAAATAAAAAGTGGGCTATAATCAAATCAAAATGTCTTCTTAATTTCTTACACAAATGTTTTCTCTGCTCGTCTCCGGCACAGCAACAATTCCCAAGCTTTTTGCTTTTGCTCGACGCCTCGATTCGCTGACACAGGTCCGATAAGAAGTTGGACAATGTCGCGCCAACTTACTGGGGAGAAGAAAGGGGGGAAACGATTGGGGAGGGGAAGCGGAGGGGGTGCATGTAAAAATCTGTGAATGTTGTATTACTTTAAAGGCCAGGGGGCCAAGTTTGACTGGAGACGTAGTACATCTTTATTTCAATCTCACTTTCACGCAATGAATGGTTGTGAATGATTCTTCTTCCTGCAAGAGTATGGTTCATAAAACACGTCCGCTTGCATCGTCTGGTCAGGGGTTGTAGATACTGATATAAAAAGGGGTGGGGATGGGGGACTTGATCACTATGGCCTTCGTTCGACGCACTCCTTGCGCCTTTGCTGTCTGCTCACAATTGTATTTACAACATATCATAGAAACCAGTATTTTTTTCCCTGTAGACCGAATCGCTCTTTTCCTTTATCTTGCTCGCTCGCTCGCTCTCTCGCGCGCCCAGTCAGTCGCCAAGCTGGGCCACAAGTGCAAACATCTGGAACGGCGTCAGGAGGAGGCGTGTCGCAGCCCCCC